CTACTGAGGTGCTTTCCAGCCCTAAGCAAAGGTAAGTGTTTTGAGTCGAGGAACTGAGCTAATGGGTCTTCTTCATGTGGGGGACTAGAGATATAAGAAATTCACTAGACTGTTTAGATGACCGTGTGTGTTTGTGTGTGTGTCTATACTTGTGTTAGCCTCTGTGTGTCTGTGTGCATCTGTGTCTGTGTGTACATGTGTGATTCTGTGTGAACCTGTATCTATATGCACCTGTGTGTGAAAGTCAAAGATCAAACTCGGCTGTTACTCCTCCAGAGCTGCTTGCCTTATTTTTTATTTTTTTTAATTAATCAATTTATTTATTTTTGTCTGTTTGTTTTTGAAATAGGGTCTCCCTGTAGCCCCAGGTGGCCTGAAACTTGCTATTTAAACTGAGCTGGCCTTGAACTCACACAGATCCACCTGCCTCTACTTCCCAACTGCTAAGATGGTGTGCCACCATGCCCGGCCCTCCACCTTATTTTTTAAATAGAATACTTATTTATTCTTTGACAATTTCATACATGTATACAATGTATATTTTTTCTTTTCCTTTTTTTGGTTTTGTTTTATTTTTTGAGACAGGGTCTCACTATGTAGCCCTTGTTGGTCTGGAACTCAAGAGATCCACCTGCCCCTGCCTCCCAAGTGCCGGGATTAAAGGTGCGTGCCACCCTATCTAGCCTTATACAAGGTATCTTGATAATATTTACCTCCAACACCCCCTTTCCACTTCCCGCATTATCCTTAACACATCTTCTACCATTCTTCATTCTCTCTCTCTCTCTCTCTCTCTCTCTCTCTCTCTCTCTCTCTGTAACCCACTGACTCAAATTAATTATTGCTGTCTGCTGGAATATTGACTCATCTTACTGGGTTGATCTTGAGCAGGTCTTGTGCAGTAACCACAGCTGCTGTGAGTTCATGAGTGCATTAGCCACATCATGTCCAGAAGACAGTTTCACAGCTCTCCTCCCCACCTTTTTTTTTTGAGGTAAGTTCTCACAGTAGCCTGGAACTCTCTGATTAGGCTAGACTAGTTTGCCAGGGAGTGCCAGAGATCCACCTGTCTCTACCTCCCCAATGATGGGATCACAAGTGGGTCCCTCCGTGCCCATTTTTTTTAAATGTGTGGCCTGAGGATCGCATTCAGGTCCTTGCATTTGTGGGGCAAGTTCCTTACCACTGAGCCATTTCCTCAGCCCACATGGATGATTCTCTGCTTTTATGTCAGGTGGGTCAAATACATGACAGGAGAACCAGGAAGATAAGAACAGTTGGAGCCTCCTGTCTTTAGGGAAGGTCAGCAGGGAGGACTTTGAGCCCATGCTCTGGGTTTCCAGGCTCCCTCAGTTGTGGAAACAAAATTATCTGGCTGAGCGGGGGTTCCAAAGGAGACAGAGACAGATCAGCTCAGGAACTAGCCCATGCAGGAAATGAGCAACTCCCTAAGCCCCTGTGTGTGTGTGTGTGTGTGTGGGTGTGTGTGTGTGTGTGTGTAGGTCAGAGGTAACATCAAGTGCCTTCTTCTATCAATCTGTGCTTTATTTCTAATTTTATTTATTCATTTTATTTTTATTTACCTATTTATTTATTTGTCTATTTATATTTTATGTATATGAGTGTTTGCCTGCATGTGTGTCAATGCACTTGTGTCATGCAATGCCTTCAGAGGCCAGAAGAGGGCATCAGATCCCCTGGAACTGGAGTTAGAGATGGTTGGTTGTTAGCCGCCATGTGGGTGCTGGGATTCCAACCCAAGTCTTCTGCAAGAGCAGCCAATGCTCTTAACCTCTGAGCCATTTCTCAAGCCCCCATTCATTTTATTTTTAAAAAATATTTATCTTTGTGTGTATGTAAGAACAACAAGTGTATGCCTGGTGCCGAAAGAGGTCAGACTATAGCGTTGGATATCCTGGAATTGGAGTTAAGGACAGATGTTTCTTCTATGTAGATGCTGGGAACTGAACCCAGGTCCCCTGGAAGAGCAGTAAGTACCCTTAACCACTGTACCATCTCTCCAGCTCCTGGTTTATTTTTCATGTGTATGAGCGTTTTGCCTGCATGTAAGTGCACCATGTTGTGCAAAGCCCATGGAGGCCAGAAAAGGGTGTTGGCTCCCTTGGAACTGAAGTTATGCATGGTTGTTAGCCCACATGTGGCTGCTGGGAACTGAACTCGGGTCCTCTGCAAAAGCAGTCAGTACTCTTAACCTCTGAGCCATCTATCCAGCCCATCTACTTTACTTTTTGAGACAGAGTCTCTCACTAAAACTGGAGCACGATTGGCTAGGCTAGGTGGCCAGTGAGCTCCAGGAATCCTCCTGTCCCTGCCCTGACTAGTACTGGAGCTGTTAGGATCACACTTAACAGGGGTGCTGGATGCTGGATATCTGTTCAGGGATCCTCATGAACTTTATAGACTGAGCCATTTCCCCAGACCTGCCAGCACCTTTCCATGAGAGAGTTGCCTGACTGGCATTCGCACCATGAAAGGGATTCAAAATAAACTGCTCTCCACCTGCGTCAGCATGCTGTACTCCAAAAGGCCCTGGAGCAGGGCATTTGGCCTAATTTCATGTTCCACCTGACACTAGTGATGTTCAGTGTGCCAAATCACAATTCACAATGAAAACAGACTCCAGGTCCCTTGGTGACCCACTGGTCTTGGTTCTAGAAGTTACTGTTCCCACTGAGCCTCAGAATCAAGTACTTTAGGCATATGATATCAGGCGGCCCCAGGATTAGACTCCACTTCCATATTAATTGAAAAGAACATTCTCTTTGGGAAGGGGAGAAACTAAGTTATACTCTGCAGCTGACAAGAGAAGACGCAGAAATGGAAAGTGGTGGTGGTAGAGTTTACCACCATGCCAGCCAGGGCCAGGCGGGCACACAGAAGGGGGCCTGGGAGGATGTAGCAGCATCTGGCCTCACAGGGCCAAAGAAGGCAGAGGTGAGTGGGAGCAAGCAGGGGAAACAAGAGCCACAGGCTGCCTGTGGCTCTGAGCCAGCCTTTCACTGGCTATAGAATCCCAAAGTCCTGACTGAGGAAAACCTGAGCTGAGGATATAGCTTGCTTTACAAGCACAGGGATCTAAGTCTGATTCCCAGAACACTATCTCTCTCTCTCTCTCTCTCTCTCTGTGTGTGTGTGTGTGTGTGTGTGTGTGTGTGTGTGTGTGTGTGTGTGTTTGAAGCTTCCACCTGATTCCACACACACACACACACACACACACACACACACACACACACACACCAAGCATGGAGATGTGTTTGTAATCCCAGTGCTGGGGAGAGACAGGTGGATCTCTGGGACTCTCTGGCCAGCCAGCCTAGCCTACTTTGGGAGTTCCAGGCCAGTGAGATTCTGTCTCAAAATAAAATAGGGGGAGAGACTGGGGAGATGGCTCAGTGGGTCAAGCGCTTGCCATATAAGCGTGAGGACCCAAGTTCAGAATTCAGAACCCACATAAAGCCAGACACAATAGTGTATCTATGATCCAAACTCTCCTAAAGGTGGACGGCACCTGAGGAATGATAGCCAAGGTTCTTTGGCCTCCACTTACACACTTACACACATGTGCACCTGCACACACATACATACAGAAGACTCTAAGCTCACCTGCAAATAGATTGGCCTTTTCAAGGGGTTGTGAACTAGATTAAGTGAGACGTAGAGTGCCTGTATGGAGGAGGCTCTGGGCAGCCAGCAGATGGAACTGAGTCTCTTGGACAAGCTCAGCCTCAAGGTGGACAGACAGCATGCTGGTAACCATAGCTGGGTGTGGGAATGACTTAAGGACAAATGAGTTTTACCTAACCATGTAACCAAAAAGTTGATCTCATGTTCTGAGATCATCTAATACTATCTTAGCTTGTTTGTATCTTGGGCTTTGGGCTCTGTCTTGTAATCTAAACACATGACCTTAATCCCTCATGACCCTTCCTTGTACTTGACCCAGAATAATGTATCTGGGTATGTATGTTGTGGAAATAGCAAGCGCTGCAATATTCTTTGGAAGCAACAAGAATTATCCCATGTGTGATGCAAGCAGTGGGTGGGATTCTTTGTGGGTGTATATGCTGTCCTAGGTTCAACTGGGGTCAGAAGGGACATAATCTGCTAAGATAATTCTTTGTCTCAAATGATACTGGATGTATAGTTTCAATAGAGACCCTTGTTTCTGGGAGAAATCTGAAGGAACAGGTTCTCAGAAAGTTTGGTTCCCACTCTTGGTTGAAATGGATGCTAAGGATCAGGCTGATTTTATTTGGGCATCAATGTGGCATGGCACCACCACAGCCTAGTGTGGAGGAAGAGGGGCATGTACTGGGCCATGTATACCTCTGTAGGAATGACTTTCATAAAATGGGTAGGATCTGGACTTATGACTTAAAATTAACCTTGCAACCAATAAACTACAAACAAACTCACTGATCCATGTGCTCTTGTGTCCTGGGCACCTGACTTTGATTCCCCAGAACCTCAATTTGTTATTCCACCCAGATAGTGAATGAATGTGGGTGTGCTTGAGAATAGAAATCAAAGTAAAAACAATGAAGACAGGCTGCTTGGCATTGTATGAGATGTTTCAAGCCTAGGGATGAAAAGGCAAGATTGGTAACAGCGGATCCAGGCCTGGAGGTTCCCCAATTGAAGCTGGTGTAGTGGTTTCAAATAAAAGTATGGGTAAGGCCTGACTCAGCAACACAGTTCCAGGAGATATCTGAGGGAATGGGTGTCCTCAGAATTCAGCCCCCCCTCGTAACCAAAGAGTCAGGTTTATTCAGGCATAACTGTCATGTGGCAAGGTAATGCTGAATTCCTCCAAGCATCCTCAACATCTGTGTCCCTCAGATACAGGCGTTCTGTCCACTGGAGTCAGGTCTGGGTAAACCAAAGCTGCCACACATTTGCTACTCGTCCTCAGCCAACTGGGTCCGTGTGTGTGTGTGTGTGTGTGTGTGTGTGTGTGTGTAAATAAAGCTCAAAGCATCTTCCAGTGCACTTTAATCAAAACTCCATCATCACAAGAGGTCTTGTGGCATACAATGTCAGAATGTCATGATGGGTAACTCGGTCCTACAAATGGAACATCCATGGATCTGCACTTCAAACAGTTATGAAAAATAAAAAATATATTTATCACTTTAGAAATTTCCCCACGTAACACTTTCTCTTTAAAATAAATTATGATCTATGAAGCAGCCTGGAGTCACTAAGCAAGTAGCAGCCAAATGACACCTGTTTTCTCAGAAGTTCTGGAGGGAACACTTGATGGGGACCATCAGATGCTCACGGGAACCAAACTCACTCCTCAGCAGGCTGAGCATCAAAAGAATGGGAGACTTCAGATAGCTGTTCTTTTGTGGGGGAAAAAATAAATTCCCAAACCACACTGGATATTGTAAAAGCTGCAAATGAACTTTTGGCACCAGATGAGAAGAGGGACCTTTCAAAGCCAATCCAGTGATGATTCCGTTGAAGCGTGAGTCTGAGGGAGAGGGGGGCAGAGGGGAGGGGCCAGCTTTAGGGTACCCCCTCTGCTCTGGAGAAGGCGGAGCTTGTCTGAGCAGCTGGCTCCCCATGTGCTTCGACTCCCTCAGAGGATAGGAACAGAATTCACCGGATACAGGAGAGACACTTTTGCAGATGAGAGCCGCTGCTTTATAGCCTGCTCTGTGGCCAGTAAGGATGTACTCCACACAAAGGACACAGGCCACCCCAGTGAGATGGCTGTACAGCCATTAAAGGGGACAAACAGGAAGCACATGGGACATCAAAGATCCAGGAGGACAGGCAGGGCTGGGCGGCACTAGCATTTACAGGGGTCTGGAGAGGGGCTCACAGAATTGACCCTGGCAGGAAGTGGCTAAGGGCTCTTTCCAAGGGACTCTGGCACTGTTCCCCTCTCAAAACAACAAAATGGTGAGAAGGAACAAAATGAGCTCAAGACAGAGGTGGTCACACAGCCTGTCTTAGGGGTTTTCTGGGAATGGGCTCTGGCCTCCGTCTGTTCAGCCAGAGGTTTTACACAGTTGGAACTGGGGAGTAAGTGGCCCTGAACTCCCCACAGGGACAGCCTGATCCTGGCCTCTTGGACAGAGAGAAGGTGGCTACAAGTCCAGGAGTCGCTCCTCACACGTTTCCACAGGCCACTTGGAAGCCCCTCCGAACACGTCGACGTTGTTGTCCACCCATGGGATGATGTTGCCGGGCATGTTCGTGGAGCAGTTGGCGATGTTGATGATCTCCTGTGCCCGGAGGACACGGTCCCATATGTTGAACTGGCTAAGCTCTCCGACAAAGGCCTGTGTGGCATCAAACCTGCCTCCCACGGTGTCCTGGAAAATGGAAACAGGACATCTGAGTTGGGGCAGGTTCACAAGCAGACTGACCTTCTGTCTCTCCAGAGGCAGGAGGGAGGAGGGGTGACCATGGATTCTGCAAATCCTGGACCCCCAGGGCATGCCAGGCCTGGGAGATGGCTTTACTCAAACCACCCATTTTTGACAGGGGAAACTGAGGCAGAGGGGAAAGACACTTGCCTAAAATTAGGACTACTGCTTTGCCTCCTGACTCTCAGGCCCTTATGGGAGAAGGCACGGAGGAACAGATGGGAGTGGGTCAAGGATCAGACTCCAAGCCCCAGACTCATTCTCTGCCCAAGACCAGCTAGCTTCTTTGCTATACCTTACCTAGACAGTGATTTTGCAGGGGTCAGCCTCCAACTCTCTCTCTCTCCTTCACTGACTGCACAAACCAGTGATTTCCTGAGTGACCTTTGCTGGGTCCGGGGTTCAAGACCCTGAACAAATAACTCCTGGAATATTCTAGCTCCGGTATTATGTATCAGCCAAGGCCAAACACTGGGACTTGCAGGGACACCAGGACTTGCAGGGCACCAGCAGATGCCTTCCTACAGTCTCTACCCTATAAAGGAACTGGACCCTGAGTCACAGGATAACCCCTATGACTATCCCACAATGCTGTCAGATGCTATTTTAGCTTGTCCTGGGCCACACAGCCAGGGAGCTTACTCATGGACTGGCTGTTAGGCTGCAGTGAATGGGTCTGAGAGATGGATAACTGATTGATCAGCTTCCAGTGTGGCATCCCTGAGGGCACCCACCTGCTCCTGCCCCAGGATGAGCACACCACCCGGCTTGATGGGGTGCCAGGGCGCCAGGTTCTCCCCAGTGCCCAGCCTCTCTCCGTCCTGGAATGCTTCCCACATGCCATCCCGTGTTGTCCAGGTGACACAGATGTGGTGCCACTTGCCATCGCTGACAAACAGGGGCAGCTGTGCAACCTGTAGGTAGCAACGTGCAGGTGAGGTCACAACCCTGGTGTTCCCCAGGGAAGGGAAAGGAAGGCCATTTGGGAGTTTGGTCACTTTTCCTCCCATTGCCCAGGATTCCTTCTTTGCCCTGTGAATGATGCACCCTTCCACCCCCATCTGCCATATGTCTGAGACTTGGGGGTCTTAGCACACTGAACACCCTTAACTCTGGGCCTGGCTGCAGACAGACAGATTGTCCCATGCTGGCTTGAGCTCTCTGTGTAGAAACTGACAGGAATCTACATGTGGACCAGGCCTCCAAGCATGCATATGTGGGAGTACAGGGATGTGCACCTAGACCACACACAGAACTACAGGAAGGGCTCAGCAGTCTGTGAGCAACAAGGCTATGATTGCCCTGTTGTTACTGTTGGTCTCCTAGCAACTCGAAGCCTCTCCCAGGAATTAGATGTTTACAAGAGGTCTAAAGGAAGAAGAAAACAAGACTCTCAGGTACTATGGCATTATTTAGAACAATTAACCCCTGGCTCAGGAAAGCTGCCCCTGCTAGGAGCCTGGCAGGCCCACTCCACAGTACTTTCAACTTCCATTCCACAGTGCTTCCCAATTAAACAGACTCCACCCAGTGGCAGTTTGATGACAACCACAGACAGGCAGGGGGCCTCTCCCAACCCCACCTCAGTGGAGGCTAAGCACAATCCTCCTGCATCAGCTTCCCAAGTGTTGGGACTATGAGACAGTGCCGCCATGCTCAGCTAGATGGAAAGTTCTGAAATGGGGACTGAGTGGCAAGAGACACAAAACTGGTCACCAGGAGACCACACTCCCAATGAAAATGGGGCACTTGTTCTGGAAAGGCAGGACTATGGGAGCAGAGAAGGGACCCGCAGTGGGGTAGGACTGGGGATGCGGGTGGGGCAGGAGTTGACTACAAACGAGGGAATGTGCATGCAGGGGTGGGACTATTTTATATTTTTATTGTGGTGGTGACTACACAACTGTGTGCATTTGCCAAAACCAGCAAAAGCTGATGTCAGCTCCCCCTGTGAGCAAAGCCCTGCTTTCTTGCCCTCCCATTCCCTTCGGTGTCTGGATTTTCAACTGCCTTTTGTCCAGACTCAGCTTGGAGCTCCATCAATGCCTCCCCCATGCTGAGGAGGACCACCGCCATGTACCCACCCTGTGGGTGAAGCAGGGTGACCGGCCAGGATCTGCTCTGTGCGCTACATAACACCAGCCAAGTGCTGACTCCCTGTGGGTGTCCACTCCCTTGGACGCCGGGGTGAAAAGCAAGCAGGCCTCACCTTGTCATTGATGAGCAGCTCAATGGGATTGTTACCCCACTCTATCAGCACGATCTCATTGGCCTGGCCAGGCACAGCGTAGGAGAACGGGGTGCCGATGCCTGGAGAGGCACTGGACCGTAGCCACAGGCAGATGGTGAAGGCATACAGCTCGGGCAGTGTCTTCTTGATCTTGCCATACAGGTAGTTTGTGCGGAGGGGGAGGGACACTTTGAATGCATCTGGTGACTTGAATGCACTGTTGCCTGGGTGGAAAGAAGAGGGCCCATAGCACGCCAGCCTGACCTGAGGGTGTCTCACCTGGATCTGTCACTCAAACAGAGCCTAGTGCCCATCACACACCAGCCAGCTCCTGTTGAAAATGCTCAAATCCAGCAGTGCTAAGGATAGTCCCTGCCTTCTGCAAGCACACAATCTGGTGGGGAAGACAGACCAAAGCCAGTAGCAGGTAAAGAAGTCAGGGTAGGTAGCAATTTCCTCTAGGAGGAGATGGATGGAAGGAATGATGGGATAAAGAGCCATGAAAAGTCCATGACACAGGAAGACCTGTGGATGAGAATTCCAGGCAGAGGGACCAGTAAGGACAAGGCCTCAAGGATGACCCAGGAAGGTTGGAAGGAAAGGAATATTTTGTGAGCAATGAACCAGATACATGTTAGAGAAATTGTCTCTATCTTTTAGGACAGGGAAAGAGGACTCTTTTATATCTGTCTGTCTGTCTGTCAGTCCATCCATCTTTGAGTAAGAGCCTTGCTATGTAGCACAGGCTGATCTCGAACTCATGATCCTCTTGCCTGTCTTGCAAGTGCTGGGATTACAGATGTGTACCACCACAGCCTGTAGAAGAGGCTACTTTTGTTGTTATTTTGTTTTTGACAGGGTCTCACTATGTAGCCCTAGCTGGCCTGGAACTCATTATGTAGTCCAGGCTGGTCCCTAACTCATAGAGATTCACCTGTCTCTGCCTCTCAAGTACTGGGATTAAAGATGTGCATCACCACGCCTGGCCCAAAAAGAGGTTTCTTTAAATTTAAATGGAAAAACAAAACAAAACACCGCTGGTTCCTTCTGATGACTACTTCCTTGTCTCAGTCATACAAAACTGGAGGAAGGGGTAGAGAAATTGAATTTAATTTTCTTTTCCGTTAAATCAGAAAAGCCTCCCCCCTAGCTGAGCCCTGTTTCCTCTGATCTTTCCTTAGGTTTTTGGTCCCTCTTGTTTCTTCCATGAGGGCAGGCTTTGAAACCCATGGGACCTGGGTTTGGAGGGGGACTGTCTCATGGGCCTCAACGCTCCATCAATGCTTGGTAAGTAAGCCTGTACACTTGTTACACTTGGTAATGACCCCCGTGTTGTTGGGACACTACAACTTGACACAGCTTTTGCTCCTGATGGAACCTTCCTTTCTCAACAGAGGACTGTGTTTCTGGACTGTTTTCTGTAGTTTGGAACCAGGGCGAGACAGATACTCTATACACAAAGGTGCCCCTATCCTTAGGCTGGTACCTGGCCAGACCTTTATGGTAGTGGTGAGAACCCCTGCCCCAACTCAGGCTACCTCCACGTGCATGACATTTTCCAAGTGTTTGAAAACAAAGTCTTAACAGCCCCGTTGTATTACCTAAAGTTTGTAGGAAAATACTTCCTGCTGTAAGCTGTCATAGTGAAAGCTTTCCTTAGATTTGGGGACCAGATCCTGCTGGTGAAGGAGCCTCAACATCCTTCACTCATTCAAGAAGCACTTATTAAACACCCTTATTAAACACAGGGCCAGTCGGACAACCTTACTTCCTCATGATCCCCCAAAGCTGCTTTCTGTCAGAGTAAATGACATACACAAGAGTCCTGGGCCCACACCTTATGCACGGGCCAGCAGCAGAGCCCACAGGTACCTTTCTGGCCTCTCCAGTTAGTATGTGCTCATGCTTTTGTGATTGTGTAGTCTCCCTGATTCATCCTGACCCCTCAAAACAGGCTGTGGAACTGCGAGCACCTGTCCAGACCTGGTCATCTCGGGCATGTGAGGAGGCATGCCATAGTAAACGTAGGGGCTGGCCCCTCGTTATGCTAAAAGTAGAGAAGAGAACCAGACAACCTTTTGCAGGTGACTTATCCAAGGTCACACAGCTAATGAATGAACCAGCAGGGACCGGAAGTTCCTCTTTCTACTATATGTGGCCACTCACTGGTGCTTAATCGTCAAGTGGCAAATGGCCATGTTCTTAATGAAGGCATCATTATCTAATAAGGAGAGATGGCTTCTATGCTTGCAGGTGGGCAGGCTTGCCAATTTAATAAGACTCAGTGTCGGTAATATCGTTAGGTCGGTGACAACAGATAGGTTTAATTAGAGCAGGGAGAGCCGAGGGGCAGAGGAGGGGCCTGCTATCCTGAAAGCTGGTACCCTTTATTTGACTAAAACAGCTTGGAGGTTCAGAGGAAACTTAGTTAGAACCAATTAAGGAATTAAAAGGCCTGACCAATAAATCAGAAATTGCAGGTGGTGGACAAGCCTAAGGAGGGGGGCGGGCAGCCTGGGGCTTGAAGGGAGGAGGTGCTGGTCTTTTCAGTGCCAAGGCTGATTTCAACACTCAGCCGGCTGCGTCTGGCTAGCTGGCCCAAACTCTGAAGCCTTTACAAATGAACAGGACTTGAAACCAAGAGAAATGGGCATCCTGGGACATGGGTGCTGGGCAGGAGTCAACTGCTACCTGCTGGGCTCTGGAGAGCGTCAGGCCCAGCAGGGCCAGGCCCTCCATTTCCCCTCTGGGATCACCACCAACTGGCTCAGTTCTGCAGGGCCTTGTCTGTTCTTGCCACAGAAGCCTGTTGCCAGGCTTACAGAAGACTCAAGGCAGAACCCACAGCTGAGGGTCTGGCCCAGGACTGGTGCAGAATGATGACCCCAGGCCACAGACTCTCCACAGCCCTCCTAACTGGCTGAATGGCTGAGGTCTGCCTCCTCCAGGATCAGCTGGATGCACTAAAGAACCTGCTGGGTTTTGAACTCAGTGCACTTTGGGGGCTGGGTATTTACAGCCCTTCAACAGTGGGCACAAAGCCCACTGTAATTTCAGAAGTCCCCGGAAACAAATAGCTTAGCAGATGGTCATTTCCTTCAGGTCTCATTCCAGAACTGAGTGCAAGCACAAAGAAGAGTCTAGAGCTCCAGTGGTGGGGCTTGAAGGGTAGCAGTCTGCAGAAACTGAGCTGCTCCCCGGAACACTGCTCCCCTGTGGGCTTTCGATAAAAACTAAGGAGGGAGAGCCTGGGTACCAGAACCAGCTTGGCTGGGCTGAGTCTTGACTATTTCTTTCTGGCTCTGAACAGCCAGGTTGGAAACAGGGGGGAAAGCTATAGAGCAACAGGCCCCGAGTGCATATTACACTGACCTGGGGTCCAAGAACAGCGAGTGGAGATTCAGGATGATGGCACTGTTAGTTTCACCAGCAAGTGGCTCAGGCTTCTTTGGCAAATATCCCCAAAGGATACTTGTCTGGCTGGGAAGTGAGCATTTTCTTTAAATTGTTTTCACTTATTTATCTTTACTCTATGTGTATGAGTGCTTTGCCTGCATGTTTTTAAGTGCACCACACGTGTGCAAACCTACAGAGGCCAGAAGAGGGCGTTGGATCCTCTGGAATTGGAATTAAGGACAGCTGTTTGTAGCCATGTAGGTGCTGGGAACTGAACCCTAGTCCTCTGCGAGAGCAGCCAGTGCTCTTAACTGCTGAGTCCTCACTCTAGCCCCAGCAATGAGTATTTTCCTCATCTGTGAAATGAGTATCCCACAAACTTCCCAGGGTGAAGTGCTCAGCACACTGCCTGGCACTACTCCACTGTCTGCCTGAGACTTCTACTGACTTGTAAACAAGTTGGCCACGAGCCAAGCAATGCACAGATCCCACAGTCTCCTCTGGTTCTAGTTTCCCTTTTCAGTTTCTCTGAACTGCTCATGCCATGACCCTGGATGGCCCAACGCTGCAGCACTATGGTTGTGGTGGAGTAGATGCTGCCAGAATCTGTGTCAAGTGAGGGCTGGTGGTATGTGCCTGTAACCCCCATACTTGGGAGGCTGAGACAGGAAAATCACAGGTTGGAGGCCAGCTTGGTCTTCATAATAAGATGCTATGTAAAAGGGGAGGGGGCGAGATATCCTATCTTGTTAGCCCATCCCTCTCCATCTGGCCCTTCTTAGCCAGTGTCATCACAAAAGTCACTGAATACTTTGCTATTGATCAGTCCCCTATCAATCATGAAACAGTTATTAGAATTTGCATTGTCAGCTTAGGGCCTCTTAGACAAGTCTAACCCTATACCCTCTACCAGCAAAGCTACAATTCCACACCCAGACCTCCTGGAGATCTGAGGGTTGGGAATACAGTCTGAATTATCTAGGGCCCTTGATCCTTCCTTTTCTGTTTCTTGTTGGAGGATCTTACCCACCACAGTGTGTATAGGGAAGAGACAGAGACACAGAATCTGCTGTAAGGACTAAAAAGGGACTGAAATCCCCTCTGGTCAGAGGTCAGGCTCTTTATCTCAGCTAGTCCTTTGTTTTCCCACAATGGGGTTAGGGGCTAATTCCCATGACCATTGCCAAACGGTTTTAATCATTTACACAAACATCCAGAAACCAACTCGATGTTATGCCACAATCACTGCTGTCCATAAATGGAAAAACTGGGTCTGCCCACAAGTACTGAAATGCAGGCCACTCTTGAGCACACAGCACTTACCTCGCTCCAGCTCAGTCACCCTCTGCAGCAGTGCATTCAGGGTGCTCTCTGTCTTCTGCCGGTGAGCTGAGGTCTCATTGTGGAGCAGGGACTTCTCATCCTCCAGCTCAGCCACCTTGCGTAGCAACTGCCTCTCCAGCTCCCCTAGCCTCCGCTGGAGCACCTCCCGAAAGTCACTTGGCAGCCCGGCATTGGACACGTTTGTGCGGAGCTGGAGCTTTGGGTTGGAGAGGGAGAGCTATTCAGGCCAGTTGAACAGAAACTGTGGCAGGCAGCTCCAAGAACCCAACCACACAGTCAGAAGCTTCCCAAACAGCATTAAATGGTGCCAGTGGCTCAAAAGGGAACATTTTACTGTTTCTGCTGCTTCTTTTTGTTTTTTTGGTAAGGAAAGGCTTTCAAGTCAGACAAAAATTACTTTGCTGTGATATTTGAAACTTGTGACTCTCACTTCTCCCCCCAAGCTGCTTTCCTTTTCTTACTAAACAGTCTACATTTTAACTGACATCTGTAATTCCATGTCACAGAATACCCAAAACACAGAAAAATTTTTTAACAGTTAATAAATACTCAAAGCTGGTCAACCTTCATGTAGAAGAGTCCCCAAGTTCCAAAATGGCACAAAGTTAAATCTGCTGGCAAAGACAGACCTGGAAAATGACAGGCATAATCAGAAATCTTTAATGCCGCATTCAAATGTTCATTTCCCATTTCTCTTACTCTGCCATCATGCAGACTTGGGAGGCAGTTTGCCACCGCCTCAGCCACGAGCCCTTGGCAAGCTCCTTTTTCTCTTTTTATGTCCAAATACTCCGAATTATAAACTGGGAAATGGAACCTATCTTGTGTCATGCACTATTACAGGGTTAAACATTAAATAATATGCCTGAGTCACATTTAGAACTCAAGAAGTGTTAGCTCTTAGTAATCCTAATGACTCATGGGATCTACAGATGCTGGAATACTGTATTTAGCCATTATGCCAAAAACAACCCTCCGATAATTTAGCAATAATTAACACCTGTAATCAACCTCGGTTTTTGCTAATAGGTATTTTGATAAAACGCTCTGAACAGAAACGTCCACACTTCTTAAACAGGGTGGGAAGTAATGATGAAAATGAATTGAAGATTTCTCTCCCAAAGTTCCAAACTGCACACAAGAGATGAGAGCGGGATCAAGTCCTTTCTCCTAAAGTCATCACGCGAAGGGCACCTTAAAAAAACGGTCTGAGTCCCTGATCAGAGGCGTCTTTGAAGTTAACAGATGCGCACTCTGGAGATCACTGGATTCCCCCCCCCACCCCGCTCTCCCGCAGATCCATCAACCCCAGTCCCCCCTCACCACGACCCAATCTGTAAAGACACCAGATGCCCAGGGTCAGCTGATCTCCCGCCACTGTCTCTGATCCCCTGGGCACAGCCATCTCCAGGGTGTCCTGCCTCGGATTGCGGAGATTTGCAAGGAGACAAGGGGGGCGGGGGGGAGCTCCCCGGAAACTGCCCGCCAGGCTGATCTCGTTTGGGTTCATTAACCCCAAATCTCAAGTTCACCGGGAGTCTAGCCGGAAAGTCCCAGCGCACTAGGGGATCGAGATGGAGGTGGGGATTTAACCTTTCCCTTCGAACAAGGAGACCCAGGTCCAGACACGATCGAGACTCGCAACCCTTTGCACCCCCAAACTCAGCTCACCGCACGCCCTGCCATCCCGGCCACCCACTTCTCCCGCATCCCTTGGCCCACGACCCCGGGGACCGCCCGCCACCCACTACATCGCCCAGCGCGCAGCTACCTCGAGGCTCTCCAAGCGGTCCTTGAGGGTCTGTAGCGAGCGGCCGAGCTGCTCCACCACCTGGCCGGGGTCCCGCGGCAGGTCTCCCATGGTGTCCTTGCCGCCGGCACCGCGAGCTTTGCCGGCCGCCAGCCCCTCGCAACGCGCCAGCTTGCCCGTGAGCTCGCGGATAGCCTCGCGCTGCACGCCCAGCGTCTCCTTCTGCTGCACGACGGTCTCGCGCAGCTGCAGCACCGCGGCCCGCAGCTCCTCCTCGGGACTCAGCGCGCCGCCCTGCATGGGCATCGCGGGCAGCGGGCAGCCGGCATGCACCGCCTCCGGGGGCAGCGCGGTGCACACGAAGCGACTGCCGGGCACCGGGCTGTCCTGGGCTCCCGCCGCCACGGCGAGCGCCAGGCCGGCCGTCAGCAGCGCCAGCATCTCGTGGACCGCCGCGTTCACCTCAGCATGGGCAGTTGGGTTGCCGTCGGGGCGCGCCCAACGAGGCGCCTTCGCGGCTGGCTACGTCGGTCCGAGCGCGGCGCTAGAGGGAACCGCGTGGACCGCGGAAAAGGAGAAAGAAGCGCCGCCTGCCGTCGCAGAACCGCATTCTCCGCTGCGCGCGGCGTTCTGGCCCCAGCTCAGCCCGCGCGCCCTTTCTTAAGCTTGGGGGGGCGGTGCTTCAGGCGCGTGGGGCGCGCTCTGAGAGATATCATTGGTCCGTCCGAGTGCGCGTCACGCGGAGGGCGGGGCGGGGGCGCTTCTGGTCCAGCGCTAGGCAGCAGAGCTCCAGCGTGGGCTCCATGCCCGAGGTGCGAGTGCGGGGTTCCCCGGGCTCCTCAGAAAAAGAACACTGCGGTTCAGAACTGTCATGGAAAGCGTCAGCGGGCCCCGCTCAGGCGCCGCTCGGGCGCACCGAAGGACGTGGGGCTCTCGGGCTGAGAAGCCCGGGGACACCGTGCAGCCCACGGTGAGGTGATGGCGGGGCTTATGGTGAGGCCTGAGATGCCCTGACAGGGATAACCACGCCCCCAAGGGGTTCCCTCGGCAGGACTCGAACCCCGGTCCTCGACGCGAGCCCCCCCCCCTCGCTACCAGCATGGGTTTCCTCTCTCTGGGCAGGAGGAGCTGCTTCCGTGTTCCAGGCCCCTCCCCAGAGAACTCGGAAAATTCTCAAGCCAGGGAGGACCAAGAGCATCCTGGATGCTGCCGGGAAGAAGGGAACCCAGCACAGATGACCAGGAGGCTGTGGTCATGAGGTCACTTGAGTGTTCCTGTGTAGGGACAGCGACATCCCTGTAGATGATGACCTTATTTATTCAGCATGGTCTGAGTTTGATGAGAACATCCAACCTGACTCCTCATGATGGGGCCATGTTGTAAATTTGTAAATAGGAGAGCCCACCAAGTCCACTTCACAATTTGAGACCACTGTCATCAGAAGCATGGAGAGAACACATAATACTCACACCCAGAAACCCCCAAAAGGTGGTGGGGGAGCAAATCTATTTCAAAATCTTATCTATGGCTTATGAGTTTGGAGCAATTTTGATGCACAGCCCCAAACTGAGCTGGTTGACTGAATTAAAAAATGAAAATCCTTTTTTCCTACCTTTTTAAAAGAAATCCTGTTGCAAGGTCATTAATCACATTATCCATTGTACCAGAAACAAATGGATTTGTCACTTGTGCGCAGAGGCTGAGGTTGATTCTGAAAACAAATTGTATCAAAATAAATGAAATTATTATGATAATATAAAATAGACTGCAGTGATTAATCTCTAGAAACCAAATTCTGACCTGTTTTGCACTTCAAACAGTAGCTTCTATTATGTAAATAGTTGGTGGGGTTTTCAAGGACAATGTTGCTAAATTATAAGAAAAGTTCTATTCATGAAAAATTCTCCAGGATTAAAAACTACAGACAGGAAACCCAGTCTACATAGTATCCAGAGCAGAGGACTAGGGAAGTAAAGATGGTTCAGGTAAGAATGTTCATCCATGGAAAAGGCGTGGTGTGGAGACTGGGGAATTAATAATGGGTTAATGTCTTTGTTGGTCTGCCATCATTGGGAAGTTTCACCTTGTTACATTTGACCTTGAATAGACTCATTCTACCTAGGTCTTCTTTCTCTGGCCCCTTGAAAACTCCCCAAAGTTCAAGTGAATGCACATATACACAAATTGTAATAATAAAGGCAACAAGAACTCAAAGCACTTTACAAAACACTACATTAAAAAATCTTTTATTTATTTTTATTTTATGTGTATGAGTGTTTTGCCTGCATGTGAGTGTACTACTTGTGTGCAGTGCCTACACAGACCAGAAGAGAGTGTCTGATTCCCTGGAACATGAGTAACATATGTTAGCTGCTGTATGGGTCTGGGAACTGTACCGTGATCCTCTCCAAGAACAAGTGCTCTTAATTGCTGAGCCATCTCTCCAGCCCCCAAAATTCCATTTTTAATACTTTATTATTTTTATTTTATGTGTATGAGTGTAGTACCTGCATGTATGTAAGTGCACCCATGTCATGCAATGCCCATGGAGGTCAGAAGCGGGTATTGGATCCCCCTGGAACTGGAGTTATGGACAGTTGTTAGCTACCATGTGGGTACCAGGTCCTCTGCAAGAGGTGCTCTTAACCACTGAGCCATCTCTATAGCACCCAAATACTCCATTTTAGATGATTCCGCCAAATCCAGACATGGTTCAGAATTATTCAGATAAAGTTGTGATTTTTAAAGTTTCTACTCATAGATTGGATGTTCTTTTAGTCCAAGGTGGATCATAATTAGATGTGACAATATATTATTATTGTTCCTATTTAGCTCCCTGTATCCTTTCTTGACACAGGCTAATAATTCATATTTGCAACTACTTGAAGTAGAGACTTGTTCTTTTAATAATTAAATCAAGTGTATTTCCAGAATTCTAATTTCCTCCTGAACAAAGAAGGCAATGTATGAGAAGTCAAAAAAGTAGCATATATCCCCAAATAATTGCTCTTAAATTTCCAACAAGAGAAGTGATCAGTGAAATTGCCAAAGCCCAGATGGAAAGACCCAGGCACTGGAGATGTTGCTTTTCTCTGAAAGCAGTAAAACTACACAGCTCCGTTAATAGGAGATATGCTATTTGGGGTTTTGTTTTCCTGGTACGATGGGAAAATCTGCTGGTTTAGGAATGAAGAGTTCAAGTCCTAATGCCAACTATTACCAGCTAACTCATTTTCCTCTTTGGACCTTATATGTAAGATGACAAATTAGATGAAACTCTTTAATTGCCCTTCTGGCTATATGCAAGAGCTTGGTAGTTTGGGAAGGAGGGAATCACTCTTCCATACAATAAACATTTCAGGATATTTGTGTGTGTGTGTGTGTGTGTGTGTGTGTGTGTGCATGTGCACGTGTGCACACACACGAATTATGAACTACCTGAAGCTAAGGCTGAGAATGGGAATGCAGGCTGGTTGTGCAAACAGCAGGTAGACAAGGAGCCAGGAGATGCTATAGCTGGGATTGAAACTTGTTCCCGACAGCAGCATGATTTACAGCACAGAAACTGTGTCTACCCGAAAGATCCTGCATGCATGACTCACGCTACCCATGAGAAGGCTACGTGAGTGGCAGAGGCCAGGGTCCACAGATTCACTTCGTCTTGAAAAAGTCATGCAGTTCTGCAGCCGTGAATCAGTGCCACCTAATCTCTTAGTGTAACTGATGCTGCAGCATTGTAACCACCCACTCATTCATGGTGTCTGCTGGTCCTAGGTCAGCTGCAAGCCTAGTATGGACTTAACCCATGTGCTGGGAATCCTGATGAGCTCATTCCGCCTCCATTTTATTGCCCCATCTGTTTGGCTCCCCTGTTCTTCTCACATGCATTTTTATTTTGGTCTTCTGGGAAATGTGCTAATTTCCACCATGGTGTCAAAGGAACCTATCTTATATTCTCTTTTTTTTTTTTTTTTTTTTTTTTTTTTCATTTCCTCCTCTCTTTCCCAATACCACTTGGGAAGTCAAGAATGGGGGTGTGAGCTCAGTAGCTCAGAATTCAAGGACGGCTTCCTGCAACCATGACTCAGGAGCTGTCCTTGGTTCTGAGTTTCAGTCGGAGGGGAATAAGAATGGGGTGTGTGTGTGTGTGTGTGTGTGTGTGTGTGTGTGTGTGTGTCTGTGTCTGTGTCTGTGTCTGTGTCTGTGTCTGTGTGTGTAGGCTTCAGAATCCGGAGGCTCCGAAGGATCCTGACTAACCCCCTTTTATGCATAAAATGCTAAGACCCTTTTAAGAGCAGTTTTTCACTTGACCAAAAGTGGAAAAGATAGCTTTGGAGTTAGGCAACTCTTGTTTCTGTCCCAGTTTTACAACATGGCCACTTGACCTTGAGAGAACAGTTCAACCTCTCTGAACCCCGTTTTCATCATTTCTAAAATTAAAACTAAATTTACGACCAAATATTGTTTCTGGGCTTGAGTGGGACAACGTTTTCGGACACATTTGGCATACAGCAGGGGGACAATAAATGCCAACGTACTTTTCTTCCTTTTTTTCCTCCACTGAAACTAGATCAGAATTATATGTCTTATTAAAAACAAAAAATAAAAATTTCATTTATTTTGAATATTATCCTCTAGGATTAAATAAGACAAGAATCTGGAAAAAGAACACACCTGGCCTCTTGGAGAGATGTCAAGGACCGAGAATTCCAGGAAAATATACAGGTCTTGGCAAGTAACAGATACCCCACTCTGTGTTTTATTTTGTTTTTAAAAGATAAACCATGGTATTATTGAGGTTTAATCAAAGTAAGCTATTTTGCATCTATGCTAACTTGGAGTATATTAAAAAAAATGTCCCTGGACCCATCTGAAAGGTTTGTGTTTAACATTTCAGTGATCGAGTTTAGAAGGCTATGGAATCTAACACATACACATTTCTCTGATAAAGCAGATTTTCTTTCTTCAGAGTATCTAGGTTCTTCCTGAATAATATGTTTCTGGTTTAATTTTGGAGGCTGTGATAGGAAACATTGACTTTCAAGAAGTGTTCTTGTGCGAGGCTGTAATCACATGTGGGTAGAGAGCCATGGTTGGAGAAATGGGTGTTTATATAACTCAACCAATTTCAACAAATAAATGAAGGCCAGCTGGCATCTTCTGATTTCAAGCAGTAGAATAAGTCACTGTATAAGGCAGGAATCACATCCTAGCTTGGTTTCTAAAGGTAATGGATACTTGGCTGGCTGGGGGTGTTGGAGCTCAGTTGGTAGAGCACTCGCCTAATGTTTACAAAGCTCCAGGCTTCATCCCAAACACAAGAAGAGATATTTTGAAGTTGGTTTGCTTTGAGGAAGTCTAAGAATGTAGTTTCAATTTTGATAGACAGGGAACATAGGAGGAAAGAGTGATAAGGGAAAGCACAACTCATGTAGCTGAGGACACACTGGGTTAGAAGTGCAAAACTGGGTGCTGGGCATGGTGGTGCACGCCTTTAGTCCCAGCCCTCAGAAGGCAGAGGCAGGTGGATCTCTGTGAGTTCAAGGCCAGCCTGGTCTACATAGTGAGTTCAGTCCAGCTGGGGCTACAGAGAGACCCTGAGCAAAAAACTACAAAAAAAAGTGCAAAATTGGAACTGGGGAGAT